CCGTTAGTACATTTGAAGCATTCTTAAAAGATATGGAAGCTGGTATTTTAGAACCATATCTAAAGTCTGAACCAATTCCCGAAGATAATTCTGGAAATGTTAAAATTGCGGTAGCTCGAAATTTTGACGAACTTGTTACAAATAATGATAAAGATACATTGATTGAATTTTATGCACCTTGGTGCGGTCATTGCAAAAAATTAGCTCCTGTTTATGATGAATTAGGTGAAAAACTTGCAAATGAGGATATTGAGATCATAAAGTTCGATGCTACTGCTAATGATGTTCCTGGCCCATATGAAGTTCGAGGTTTCCCTACACTTTATTGGGCACCTAAAAACTCTAAAAATAATCCAGTTAAGTATGAAGGTGGCAGAGAGCTTGATGATTTTATTAAATATATTGCTAAACATGCAACCAACGAATTAAAAGGATTTGATCGTAAAGGCAAAAGTGTTAAGCCGAAGAGTGATGAATTGTAAATTTTTTCACTATAGATATGTGATTGGTTTATTACATACAATTTTAACATATATCTCAGCAAAACTTGAAGTGAAATTTTCTTTATACAATTTATGAGTGTGAAAAAAGTACTGTATCTAGCTAAAAATGTAAAAGCAAAAAATTTTTCTAATTCCAGAGACAGATTCCAGAAAGCAATTAAAAATCTTTGGTAATGCGACTGCATTTATTTTACAATGTATTTGAAAAATAAAGTGAATAACTAGAGTAGGATCATCTATATGTATTATATAACTTTATAATGTTATATACTATGTAAACTGTGCAGAATTGATATTACATCAAAGTTTTCCAGATCTAACAAATAATACTTAAGATTTAATTTTTCATTCCATTTTTCATATTTTATTATATATTAGATTAAAGTCAATAAATTATCTTATTTATATCAAAAATAAAATAAATTGTTTTTTTATAAAATTTTGCATTGAGAATCTAATAATATCTTTATTTTTTAGTATTAAGCTCCCTAATATATAATTTTTATATAAATAAAAATTCATTGTACAATGTATTTTGCATATTGATATATCTTCAAAAATCTTTTTTAAATTATAACAAACTGGTTGAATTTAATATTTAAATTTATAGATTTTTAATTATTTCAGGAGTAATAATTTACAAAAATTAATAAGTAATTTTTATTATTAATTACAATTTAATATATAGAATAATATATTTAAATATATGGAGTAAAGATTAATTAATTATAGAGTAATCTATGAAAACTCAAAAAATTCCTGATTTTATTTTCCTAATTATAAAAAAATGTTTTCTTTTTCATTTTAATTATAATGAAAAAGTAAAACGTATTAAAAAAGTATTACATACAAATTATTGCATTTTTATTCTTGAAAGTATCTTTTTTAATTTTACTATTGGCATAACTAATTAGAATATTATAAAATTATTTAGAGAACTGTGGAAACGTAGAAAATAGTAAATATTTCCTATTTTTTCTTTACATATTCGTTTCATGTACAAATATGTACTTTTGGTATTCAAAATTAAAATAATATATTTATCATACATATAGGGTTTTAATATATTCGTTTTGTTCATTTTTGGAGAGCATCTAAAGGTCAAAATAAATATAAAAGTTGAGATTTATTTATTAAATTATAAATAATTAAATTTAAATTTGTGTTAAATGAAATTGTGAATGAAGTGTGATGGTGATGCAACGAAGATAAAGTGATTTCAATTTTCGGGATTGGAAATTGAAATCTTTTTTTCCTCTTACTTCATCTAATGTAAATTTCAATTAGTTATAATTTAATAAATAAACTTAATCGATATTTTTGTACATTATTTTTTGTGTTTATTTTGGTATAGAATTGATTTTCTATAGTTATCCCATATATTAACACCCTGTATATGTATACATATATATATTTGTTGTAACATCATCGTAAGAAAATGAAGTGATTTATATTTTTATCGTTATTTCATAGCATGATAAATAGATAAAGAAATGCTTAATAAAAATTATAGGACATTCATGAAGGTATAATACCTTATCTATTTCAGAAATAGTAATATTTTATGTACAATCTTTAATCCTATATGGACTAAATATGTAAAATAATAGAGTTGTTTTATCTCTTCTTTTATGTAAACCTTAATGAATTTGGTAAACGCTATGATATACGAAATATTACCATTTTGATTCTTATTAAACATAGAAATTCATATTATCTTATAAGTTTGTGCATATAACAATATTTAACTTTTTTCATAAGAAAATGTAATTATATTTAATTATTTTTTTTCTTTTATTTTAATTAAAGAATATTTATAATTTTTATACAATAATAATTGAAGATTATTCTATTTTAATAAAAATCAAAACGATAATGAAAAAATATTAATAAGTATAATTTCTAAGTTAACAATTTATGTATTAATATATCCCGTGATCCATATATTTATAAAAATTGCGATAATGTTTGTACAAATTTTTCGTAATTTATTTTATTTTGAAACACGCACTTATTGCAACATTAGATAAAAAGAGTCCATAAAGGATTAACTGATACAATCATAATTAACAGTACATTCTTCAGAAATTATTATAAAAATTTTTATAAATTTTGCAACGGATTTATATTTGCAAAAGTATTACTTTCAATTTACTTTTTTTCTAGGATTTTTTTGTAAATTTTATTTGAATGTTATAAAAAACTTAATTATTCATTAACTTTTTAATTTAAATTGTGCTACGAATAATTAAATAATTATTTTTGCGTATTTTAACAATAGATTATTAAAATTATGTATGTATATATAAATTCTTACTAAATGAAATTTCAATTTACCGTTGCAAAATTTGACTGCAATTTTACAGATTCCGGTTAAAAGCGTAATTCAATAGTACTGCTAATCATTAAAAAAAGTTTGTTGAACACAATTCCACAGTCATTCATTAAATCAATGGCCAAGACTGCATTGCAGCCGTTAATTCAATAGTTCTTGCAAAAAACAACTACCTTATGAATCTTATAGATTAGTTTTAATAGAAGATACGTAAGATTAAAAGTTTAGATTAGAATAGTATGCATACAAATGGAAAAAAAAAAATGAAATAAAAGGAAGGAAAAATACAGGATAATAGATATGATATACGATCATTTTGTAAAGGTAACTCGAACTCATAAATTAATTACGTTTGAAGAACACATATTACTTTCAATCGAAACATTGGTAGAAGTATAAAGTATCCTGTAAGTCCCACGATATTACTATAAAAATCAATATTTTTTATGAAAATTGTTCGCCCTAAATTATTAATTTAGAGTAATTACATCATGTCGAATAATTTGAAAAAATATCGCGTAATAAAACGCAACTAAGACATCATTTATGTACTTCTGTACTTGGATACAATGGATGTGTTGTCGAAATATATAAATATAATCGCTGTTACAATCCGTAATGTTAGTGTCATCGTATTACAATAATATAATAATAAAAATAATTAATAATTATAATAATTATAATAATAATTAATAATACATTTAATCTAGTTGATATCTTAAAGATCAAAGTGATCCGTTGGTCTACTTACGCAATTTTATAATATAAAGTTCATTTTTTTGTGTAAGAAATATAGATATAATGCGATGGTTTGATAAAATAGCGACGTAACATTTGGAATTCTTAACATTTTGTTTTAAATTCTTACATTGCTTTCTATGACTTTACATTGCATACTACACCTTTATTCTTTCCATTTTCTCTTTTTATATTGTTTTAGGAATTCCCCCAACTTTTTTATCTTCTTTCTACTTTCTTTTTATTATTAAAAAATAAACATGCACTACGACTTAAAAAAAGAAAAAAGAAAGAGATGCATACGATAGCAATGAGATACTAATAATAATGATAATTACTACAATGATATAGATAATTATATATCATAATTATAAATAGTTGGTATGACAATTGTTTAATTTTTAAACTTGAAGCACAATTCATTATTATTAAAAAATACAATCAAGTAGTCATTACAATATACATTATAGTTTCTCATATACTATAGCATATACAAAATATCTACGCAATTTGATCAAGTTATGACTTTGAAATGAAAAAAAATAGAAAAAAAATTTCATTTAACAAAATAGTTTTAAATAAACATAATTTGGTACATATATGCTGAAAATGAAAGCGTTTCAAAGAATTCAAGGTCATCATTAGTTTCTTAAATGATATTTTATATTTTTTAATAAATTGATGCTTTTATTTTCCAAAAAGTATTAAAACATTTTTATCTAAAAATGTTTAGTTTAAAAACTTTATTTTAATTATGAATTTGCAATATTAATTTAATTAATTGAATTTAGTATATGAAAAACAAAAAAAATGTGCGCAATATAATATATAAGCTCTTATATTTATTTTTTCTGTTTGTCATACAATACATAATTACACAATTAGAATTAAAATATTTTTTGAATTAATTGTTTTCAAAGAGTGCTTTATATTTTATATATTTCTATAAAATTTAAGACAATTTATCGATGTATATATATATATATATTTATATATATTTATATA